TACGGATCAAAGTTCAAAAGAAATGGTGAATAAAAACAGAAATTATCCATGTGTCTAACAGTTTACAGACTTCATATGCGTTAATTTGTTAGCATTAATCATTCTTCATAAGTATATTATAAATATGAGGTGAATAAATAAATGGTGGACATAAAGTCTTTAGGTAAATAATCAGCTCCAGATAGAAAACAACATGCATGAACATGAGATAGGATAATTACAGATTACTTTAAAAAATGTAAAATCATGACATGCACATACACTTACAGCTGAAGCATACCGTTTTTTTATATATAAGTACATGTGTTTTGTGCAAGTATACAAATCCTATAGAGATTTGTATACATTCTTTAGACAACGATCATTGATTCATACAACAGAATTTACAGCTAAATAATTGAGCTGAGGTGCACCATGTTGTGTGCTGACAACCGCTAAAGTAGCTATTCCCTCTTGCTACTACTACTTCTACGGTAGTTACCATTTTTACTATGGACAGACTAGACAGAGTGTACTGATGTACACACACAACAGTACCTCAATACGGAAACAAAAAATAGTGTACATCTTATGTTGTAAAAAAAATTAAAATTAAAATCTGAATCGTTTTTGTAACGGCACAATTATTAGAGGAAAGAGAGTGACGACGAAATCAGCTTTAATTAATGAACTTCAAATTTGTGATACACATCAACACCAAAATGTTGCTGTCCAAATTAAACACACGCACACACACACATACACACAGAAATTTGTCGAATGATTCACTACTTGTACACACACACACACACACAGTAATGGACATCATGACAGAACAAAAAGGCATAAGACATATAATAACTGGAAAGAGATGTGACACATACGCGTCAAACTGTCTTCTTTTACTCTTTCTCAACACGGGTAATTCACACACACATCTACATACGTACATACATATAGTGTGAGGAAAAAATATTACCAGGCATGACAGTGACCTCATACATATACATACGCATCGTACAAGAATGAAAAGGATGATTCACGCCATCAAAAAACGACGACAACATCAATCATAAATAATAAGCATAGATTTTTTTTCGCGTTTTCGATGAAAGAAAGTACGCTAGCAGAAAAGGAAACTTTTGGTGTACTTTGGTTGGGAAGTCTGTACTATGCACAAATTGCTAGGGATTTGAACTGTTTCAAGTTTGATTACGAACCAATGAAAACCAGGGGGAAGGGGACAGCTACTTCCTCCTTGTTTGAGACTATTCAGTAAAATGTACCCACGACTCCGGAACCTTCAGAATTCCCTAGTTATCAATGGTCCTTTAACTAAAACCAATCCGAGATCGAACTTGAAACAAATTGGTTTAATAAAAAAGTTATGATAGCTGAAATACAACAGACGCAAGTGCATACATATACACAAAAGTTTGATGATGATATTAGTCGGGAATCATATAGTTATGGGTTCCAGTTTGACTGTTAGGATGGTAAATACAGATACTTCATAGCCTCCTAACCTGTTGAAGTGTTCGAGACTGAGAGGAAACAAAAATATCTAGTCAATGTTTCCCTAATCCAACATAAATGCACAACGGTATCCATCTTGACTTCGATTGAATCCCCACAAATAGAGCAATCAAATAAATAGTAGCTATAAAATAGGAGGTGATCTTGGTTAATGAGATTAAGTTAGGCAAAACAAAATCACTAAAATTAAAGGGGGACAAAAAATAGTGGTTTAGGATATTGGGAGCAATAACTTTAAAGCTAAATATACCTTGTATTTTCCTGATACAGACCTGAAGAAGTAACAGCATACAACGTGGTATAATTATAATCAGATAACAGTTCAACATGTAAATAAATGCTTAATTACTCTTCTCATCCAAGTTTCGAAGCTTTAAATTTTAGTAGCAGAGATTACGTTGTGGAATATTACAGTTTGTGCGATGTCATTTAGAGAACCATTCATTAATGATAACCATAGAGGCAATGGACAGCTAAATCACTTCGACACTCTGTACAACTATTATCCAGTGAAGCAGTGAACTAATTGGATATTAATACCACATGAACTCCAGCAGCTAATAAAGAGATTCATAACTAAGAGCCAAAAAAGCCAATCAGTAATCCACTGTTGTCTAACAAACAACTACGGAATCCACCTTGAAGTTTCGCCGTTAATACATGGGAATCAGCCTATTAAAACCATTTTATTGACGAAAGGAGTAAGTAGCCAGTGTCATGTGGTTCAACGCTTAATTCTATTGATATTGGGGGACAAGACTTTTATTATTGACACGTGCGTGATATGATGAAGCCATCCTTTGTTGTGTGACCCAGTGTCCAATGTCCAACTGAACCACCCATTGAATCATTAAGACGAACAAATTATAATACTAAGCAAGAAATTGTCTTTTAAATGGTAAGCACATGTATTATTATTCCATGCATAAAACTTTCTATGAATAATGGCCAAATCACATTGTACAACTCTAGTGTAATCGCATAACACCGTTACCTATTCGTATGAAATACAGTCAAAGCTAAAGTGATGAAAATTGAGTCACTGCAGTTGATTTGGAGCTATACTTCACTGAATATCTCTTAGATACTGACTTTAAACATTGCAAAGTCTTCAGACAGAAGACACCCACATTCCTCTATATTTCTCAGATGAATAGTCAAGGAATTCATATGAATAGGTATCATAATTTCTATCTAGCCATTTGATAGTACTACTACTCTAGATTAAACTACTCATCAACGGAAATGATGACTAAAAATACACAATACCTATCTCGACCACAACAAAAGTCGATGAAGTTTGAGGTTCTCATCAACTAACACACTTGTCTTCACTTAATCCAAATCCAATGTTTACCTTGATTGATAGGAAAGTGGTAGTAATCCTAACCAATTATTCTACTATTCTGTAGAGTCACAATGTTAAACAGAACGCTTAGATTGACATAGAGTTTTAGTATTTTACTGGCATTTTATCAGACAGTGTATATCCTCTGTTTACGCATAATCATATGAAGTTAAACGACTCAGCCGTTTAATCAACCATCACTCTCTCTCAGCTGTCTGTGAAATTCGTCATTCATAGACTTTTTTCAGAGAAATAAACAAAATTTATTTAAATCAAGCATCAGTGTATCATAATCTATCTTAAATAAACAACACTACACAATCCAAGTGATGAATAAATAAAGTGACTGGTCTCGTGTGTGATTGTATGTGACAAATATTGTACATAAACAAATGAACAAACACGAATAAACTTAACGAAGAGAAGTTTTGTTTAAGAGAGAGGCAGGATGACTAATTTATGCATGGGGAAAATATATTGATTAGTTGACCATGTATATATATATATATATTTGTAGTGAAGGGATGGGCATTTTATGCAAATAACTTTAAATTGGACAATATTTTATAGTCTAAATAGAAAATTACACACTATGTTTAGCTATCGCTTTGAAAACGAGATTCGACTTTCGTCAATATTTCCAAGTGTTGGTATGTAGGGATTTGATTGATTTCAGATTTGGATTATGAATTAATTTCCGTTAGAGAACCATTGAAAACCAAAGAGTACTGGACAGCTGCTTCGTCCTTGTTCGGGACTCTTGGGCATTACGCACCCACCACCCCACCAGGAACCTAATCCGGTACCTTCAGGTTTGTATGCCATTCAATCACTGGCCGGAATTCCACAGCATAAGCTGGGTGTGAGGACAGACGATCAATGATGATTTTGGCTGATGGTAGCGCTACATATCGTGAATTGGCAGAAGTTAGCATAGATGGGCCATTGGATTCCATCCTAGTAGTTGAAGGGTGTACGAGTTCGTCTTATAACCTAAAGATACTGGGTCCGATTCCCGTTGGGGTCATAGGTGTGTATTGATGAAGAGTCCCGAACATAGACGAAACAACTGCCCATTACTCTTTAGTTTTCAAAGGTTATCTAACTGATTTCAGCTCGTGATCGAAAATATTCTTAATATTGTCTACAAAATTATAGTCATACTAAAAAAAAGGCAATATGCAAAATAAGAAAATAAAACCATTGTATTGTATTTTGTTAGACAGCTAAGATATTGCATAGACGCCAAGAGTAAAGCCAAATGATTATCTTTAAGCTCAGATGACAACACAGCAATATTCAAACATGTGTCGCCACGGTTTCTGGTGACCATGACACGTTCTTTATGAATACTTCACATCATCTGTATCATTTAGGTGTTTAATCTCTTCTAGGTGAACTTTCTATGTTTACAAATTCGGTTCTGAATGCCAGATATTCACATCTACCGATTCACATCTGTATTAACTATGTGCTGAGAACAGAATGTTTATGTACCAGGCTATGAGACCAGGTTGAAGTAGGCGGAGTGGGTATCGAAGGTATGACCTATTCGTTGAAGAGTAAGTGTTCAGGCCAATGCGTCACATCTTCTGTCAGCGTGAATACGGCAAATAAGACTTACTTACTTAGCACATGTTGTGAATGCGTGACAATATTAAAAGATTTCTAGGAGAAGATGAAAGTCTACCTACCGCCTTGGCAGTAATACATCATTCATGGATGAAACTGATAAGAGTTGAATATCAAGTTTTGGTTGGTTTATACAGATGTAGGTGAATTCCACTGATCACGTTATAAGAATGAGAAACTATGTGTTATCTAGTTATATTAGACAGAAACGGACAAGTAATCGGAAATCGCTATTTGGTCTTTAGAGAAGTTACTTATTGCTTTCCCATATCGAACCGTTGTCACAACATTATTATTATTATTGCCAATCAAATCAACTAATATCACACGTAGAAGGGTTCCGGCTTTGTACATAGGACCAGTTACAGCACAATAAACACAAATATACACACGCAAGTGCATTTTAGTAACTATATGGACTTTCTAAGATAGAATATTGTGAACCCAATAAAACTAATACATAATTTTTAGCAAAAAACTAATATTATACAGAACAATGGTTTACCTAATAGTTGATTAAAAGTTGGTCTAGCTTTTGGTTCATGCGCCCAACATGCTCTCATTACAGCATCATAAATTGGATCTGGACATGTATCTGGCTGATCTAATCGACCGAATTTCGGAGCATCAATCATCTCTAATATCTGTCGTCCAGTAAGACCAGCCCATGGTGTAAATCCATAGGTGAATATCTCCCATAGTGTAATCCCATACGCCCACATATCTGAAGCTGTTGTGAATAGTAAATCATGTATACACTCTGGTGCACACCAGGCGATAGGCAGTTTAAGGTTGACATTGAAATTTGATTGATAATACGATTTGCCAAGTTGAAGAGCACGACTCATGCCGAAATCACTGATTTTCACCTATAGGCAAGGCAAAAATATTTAAAAAAGTTTCGAACATAAATAAATTTGTAACTAGAGGATCATGTTACGGTTCAGCTAATAAGTCAAAATCAAATACCTAATGGTCATCAACTTTTGCGAATTAATAATAATAATAATAGCTTCATGCTAAACAGTACTTTTAGAACAAATATGGAATTTTTAGCATGTAGTAGTACAGTACAGGATTGCATGTTATATTCTCATTACAAGGGTAATTATTAAAACAGGACATTTGCATTGAAAATATTGCTCAATAAGAATATGAATACAAAATTAAATTAAGTGAAAATATTAACAACAATGTAACAGTGAAAAAAATGGCGCCATTTACTTCGAGTTCCGTAGTAAGTTGGTAATCCCCTGCCTTACACTTTTCTTATCACATAAAATGTGTGGCCTGCCAAATAAGGTATTGTAAACTTTTTGTACTTAGTCATCCGAGCATACAGTCTTCTATAGTTGCTTCTAGTTCTACCCAATGAGATGCAAGGAGAGTTATGTATAGAGACAATGCTCAGAGTTTGATAAGATAATATTTGCTAATTTCTTGCAGGAGTCCATGTGTCCATTGTCTACAATAGTATTAACGAGTTGGTTTAGCGACACTCCACTCGCCCTACTGATAGCTTTTAGTGCCCTTTGAAATCTAAGAAAGTTTTTCTTAAGTAGCCGAGGGAAGATTAAGAAGAAGCAATAAAGTAGCATAGGTAGAATACAATAATTAGCAAACTGTAACAGTAGTAGAGACGGAGTGATTGCAGATCATCTTAACTTCCTTAAGTAGAACGGTAAATGATATATCTTTCTGGAAACTAACATGATGTGAGAAGACCACGAAAGATAAGAGGAAATACACAATCCAAGGTATTTATCATTCGATTTCGTTTCGACTTCTGTGTCACCTATGACAGTGGAACCATGCAAACTAACCAGCTCATGTAAGTCGCGCTTGCGCCTGGGAGTGAAATTAACAACCTGAAATTTTGAGGGAACAAGGTTAAGACCACTTAAAAAGGACTGTAACAACAGAAGACAAGGGCCAGGCAACAGATCGTTTATTAAGAAAAATCAACACATATTTATAGATTTTAATGTACATTATCATAGATTATTGTTAGTAGATAATACAGTCTTTTGATTGGTTGTTTCTCACAGAAAGTTAACCTTGCATTTCTTTTTGGCTGTGTCAGGTCATCCATATGCTAATTGTATCCGCCTACGCAAAGCCTTTGTTCTCATTTTCTCACCACCAATATTGGGGACATAAACATTGACGTCAATTACTGTCTACCAACTTTGGCTAACAGCCAGCTCTCACCACAGGACCACTGACTAATTTCTGATGAAAAGTTATTCATTTTTGAACAGTCTGACTGAGAAGTGTGGTTGAAACATTGTCCAATGACATCGGTAGACAGCCGTTCTCTCACTCAAATTGGTGGACACCACTAGTGACAACCTTTTACCAGAGCCAAATCAGAGCAAGTGAACTGTATGATGAATAAGCAGGTGATGAAAATCATAAACCATTCGATTCTAGACCAGTGGATAGACTACAGCCTCCACATCGTGATATCTGACTGTCCTTTTTCTTCATCTTTAGTGGAATCAAATGAGTACTACCTAAGACCCCATCCATTCGGTGCCCCCTAGACTTCAATAGGTCTGTACCCGGAGTCAGTTTATGACAAAATCTACTTATGACAACTTAAAATCCTGGATTGTTTGAAGTGTGCAACTGAGAAATGTCTACTTTAACTTGATTAGGAACACTTCAGAGGAAAACATCAGTGTACAATAACTCGATTCGATGTCATATTTACTTTTGATGGCTGGTACATAACTAAGAAATCTTAATCATACTTCGGAAACTATCGAATGCTTATGTTAAAATTAAAGCACTGTTGAATTTTTTAGAGATTCGTCAAAGAGAACTTAGAAATGATAGTGGATGATACATTTGACAATATGCACTTCGTGTAGAAATCTACGTTCACTGATTACTTATGGCATGCTTCTTAAATATATTATGGGATAAAAATACGAGATTGTTCCTGAAGTGACGACTTTTTGGTAATGTCTGACAGTGGTATCTAGATTGGACGTTCCGTCACTTTTAGGACTGATCAGTTGGATGCACCTGCTTCCCACTGGGTGGAGTGATGCTATCTATCTGCATTGAGATTCAAATAAAGATGTTCAAATCGGTCGTCCATTAAAAAAAAATATCAACAGGAAATTAAAAAGTATGAATTAGAAAGGCTTTCTGTTTACATTAAACATGGCATCCTTCCTCTTCCTGTCATTCACGAACAATATACTAAAGGTAATGATTAATTAAGGCAAACCATAGTTGTAATTTTATTGTAACTACAGTAAAGTATCCTTTTGCGTTCACATTCCAAGTTTATGCATAAATGTAATCCAACAAATGGTATTGTTTATAATATGATAAAGAAAAAAAGAGAGAAGAGGATTGTGTCTTATTGTAAAAATGAAGAATGGGTATAGAATTTGCAATCAGATGTAATTAGGTAAGCGAGCAATAATGTAAACCAAGTACACAGCAGGTGGAATTATATTTACAACTTGAATGATGTAATGCAATGTACTGTACTGGCACAGGTGGACACATGAGACCAACCAAGTTGTCGATCAACAATAGGAAGAATTAATGATACTAGATATTAAAACAAATGTTATATTAAGGTGAAATTTGTTAGAGAATGTATAAATTTACCAGAGTAGATTTCATTCAATGTAGTGACAACATCCAGCCTCAACTAAGATGGCTACTAACGCATGCCTTCTCCGTCCAACAGTGTTAGCCGATATAGGATTGTCCTGGTAAAAAGTTAGGGTTGGATCACATCAGAAAACATGGAATCACTCCATGAAGTCTTTAACTGTCAGAAAATAGGTGAATGGTGACTAGCAGGGGAATCCAAGTGGCGCATTTCGTCCTATTTGGGGCTTGTCAAATGGATGTACCTGCGTTCCTCAGTGAGTGCTGGTTTTCCCACCTCTTGTCTTATGAATTATTTAATTCAATTTAGATTTTCCCATCGACTGATCAGACCGAAGTGCTCGGTCTCAAGTGGCTCTAGTGGCTGAAGTAGTCTAGTGGATAAAACTTTGGCGTTTGAAAATATGGGCACTGGATTCGAGCCTCAGTGGGAACACTACCACTCACTGAGGAGTGCAGGTACATCCAGAAGACGGGTCTCAAATGGGACGAAATGCGCAACCTGGATTTCACTGCTAGTCACTATCTACCAACTGACTTCAAATAACATGGCCAGACATCGTCGAAGCATCTGCGCAAGGAGCCGACATTTCAACTTGAGACCGAGCACTTCGGTCCAATCAATCGACGGGAAAATCTAAATTAAATTAAACAATCTTTGACTATTAGTCGTCTGAATCAGCCACGTAAGGAGATGTAGACTGCCTGGCTGGGGTTTTCGAGATGTTAAGAATCTATAATGGTAATTGTTGGTGATATGGCTGGAAACTACTGTCAATAGTGCGGATGAGCATTCATCACCCGTTGTTTCCTAGACGATCCCTTAAACTCTAAACATTCTATCTTCTGCACACTCCTGCTTATTATAGTTTCTATAGTTTTCCTTACCTTTGTGTGTTTCTATGAAGTGTGACAACTTAAACTGGTGCTGTACGAAGTTCAATGATTAAAACTAAAACTGGTGATTAACCGCATGGGAACACTCAGAGTCTGTTGTAAATTGACAACTGATCACAATCAAGGTTTTCAGGAGAGACACTTTTATCACTCATAGAGAATTCAGACGAACTGACTTCATACTGTAGTCTGCGCCGAAGATTTTGTCTAGCAAGACTATGAAAGCTTTGCGACTAAACCGTCCAGATCAGAAGACACAACTACACCAAAATCTTCTTCATATCTACAGTTTCTGATGTTTTTTTCTCCTATTACTATGTACTTCATAAGACAAAAGTGTAGTATGACAACTCGCATAGTTTTACCAGAGTTTCTAGGTTCACGGTTTCTAATACTGATAATATCTTTTAGAAGGGAATAAAAGAATCAATGAAACCAAATTAGCTTTTTAACTACCCAAAGCTCTCCCTGGTTTTCACAGGTTTCCTAAATGTTGTCATCAGTTCTTCAGGAAATATATCTTGAAATCAATCGCCTCTTCCACTTATATAGGTAGCACAGTTTCAACCACATGTGCAACAGATGAGGATGTCAAAGTTGGGGTTGGAAAGGCAGGGAAGTGGTTCATCATTACACTAAAATCAAAGTCGAAGTCTACTACATTCAGAATAAGGAATAAGATCCGGATCTACATTACAAATGTCAAAATCAGTGCTTTCGTATGGTTCAGAGACTTGCCGCTCGTGAGAGTCATTAAAAAGCATTTCCAAAGAGGCTGTAGACTTCTGCCAACAGCCACCTTCGCTGGCTCGATAGTGGAAATCACACAATCTAAGAGGATTCGCAAAAAGGAACTCGTATAGGCGACAGAAAACCAACCAATAATGTATCGCCCCAAAAATACGCTGAGGAGATCATTGTTGATTGATAGCATGCGCCAGGCACTCGAGTGAAACCTGAGTTGGAAACAACGGTTTGGGAGTCCTGCAAAAACAACAAAATGAAATGGAGATGTGCTGCGGGAACCTTATGTTCGACTGGGAACCCAAGGGAATAATAATAATATATAATGCCTACAAGACACATTAGGGTGAGGTGGTCAACAGGCAACTTTACTGTTTTGTACACCAAACAGAAAGGTTATACTTAAAGACTATGGATAACCATCCATCTATCTTCAGGTTCGAATAGACACCAATAAACAAAACACTTAAAACAGGATTCATACACTGACTGACTAACTGGGTAATACAAATGAATGGTGACATTAACAATGGTATTATTTAGTAATAAATTAACAAACTTACAGAATCTTTAGAAAATACTAGAATATTTCTAGCAGCTAGATCACGATGTACAAGACCACACTCTTCTAAATAACTCATTCCACGTGCAATTTGTATTGAAAATTTATGTAATACAGGCACGGAGAAACTTGATCTCAACTCTGTTTCACGAAGACATTCCAGTAAAGATCGAAGTGGTGCAAGTTCAGTAACCTGGAAATTAAATTTTTGTTTTTTTTTAAAGATTAATACGATTCTGTTATGAAGAGGAGAGAAAAAAAGGGTAATGATAATAATAACAATCTTTTAACATGAACACAACACTAATCAAATAATGGATGAATTTATGCTTTCATAAATAAAAATTGGGGGAATTATCCTGATGTTATTATTTTTTTTATTACTTCGTGGATTCCTCTTCAACTGACCTCTACAAGCTGAATAATACCACGAGGAAAAATATACATTACAAAAATGGGTTCCGAATTGCTTGTTATTATGTTGACAAAGTGCGATTGATAGGAACTGTAAGTAACCTAAGCCCACAGAATGATTTGGGAAGTTAAATTATTAAGCGTTAACAGGACTGAGTGTGTTCCGAGTGGAACATAGGGCTTCAACAGAGCATCTCCACTTTATACTGTTCTTTACCTTCATTACTAGCTGGCTCCATGATTTAACATATCCTCTCATCTACACTTCACACGTTCTCTTCAGTGTCCTTGAGAAGAGAGCATAAGAGCTTTAGTTGCTGTGAGTGATACCATGAGAGCCACTCCTTCACAGTGTGCTTGTGGGTTGTCGTCTGGTTGACTCTCGAGTTAACAATTTGGGAAGTTCACATCCATTCCACCTGGTCTCATATATTTCTATATTTCTGTTGGATTGATTTTCTAGCATGGATTCGCTAGCTCCACTCCCAACCTTCTGTCTTTTCCCGAACCGGCTAGAAAACTAGGTGAGGTTGTTGTATTGCGTAACATTTTTTAACGGCATACACTTTCAAGTCGAACTTTGTTTCAGTCCACATTTTGAACTCTGGTTTTCTTCAAAAACACCAGTCTTCTTATCCTATAAACAGTTAATCCTTTTAAAACTTAATGATTTAACTTCCCAAATCATTCTGGACTTATGTTACTTATAGTTCCTCCTTATGTGAACAACTCATGGTCAACGTGATAAAAGTTAGCCGGAATTCGATTTTGAGATTTATATTTTCCTGGTATTGTTGAGGCTGTAAGCAACTAAAGAGGCATCCGTGAAATCATAAAAAATAGCTCATATTATTCTTCTATATTTATTGTTGTTAATTCGTAAAACTAGTTTCATATCTCGGCATTTTAATGATGTCCACAATGTAAAATGCATGACATTAATTACTACCTAGTGTCCAATCAAAGTACCCGTTACAGTCCTACTAAAGGTCAATAACTAACCCCAATAACTCAATGGTAGCATCTGTGACGGCACCACTGGGTGACCCGGGTTCATATCTCAGAAGAAACATGAATCCCTTGAAGACACGCCTTGCCGACAGGTGAATACCAACAAGTGTGAAATTTAGGTCAAAGGCTTTTTGCCGATTGCCGCTAATCGTCTAATATCAATTCAGAGTCTACTTTTGAATGCTAAATATCAGAAAGTACAACTAACTGATTTTAACCAAAATGTGAACATACATCACAGTTCGAAAGTTAACCAGATAGACGGCTGACATTTAGATATTGTAAGTGAGCTTGCATCCTCCAGATAAAACAACATTTTATTTAGGGATTTTAGTCAGAAATTAGTCAGTCAGAAGGATAAGACATTGACAATGTGATACTGTAAGAAAGGCGATTTTCGAAAAAAAAAACAGTCTGAGAGAGAAGTAGCCCTGCAGGATAAATAAGGATGAAAGAGTAACAAGATATTCTTCATGTCAATAACCATTTTCTTCCAACTTTAGAATTAAATTGACTAGGAAAGCAACATCTGCAGCTGTTTATAAGCAATAGTGAAATAACTGACATAACTATTATTACAGAATATTCACAACAGTCTTCGAAAGTTGTAAGAAGCCAAAATACAGTCACTTAGGCTGAAATATACACTTATACTAGATTTTTATCTAACTGCCATTAATCCAATAACTAGGCATTTATGGACAGGTGAAACAAAAAAGACCTTAGCAGCTGTGAATCCAACATCCTAACCAACAGTGTCCAGCAGTATACTGTCAATTATAGCATAGTGATTATACTAATAGACACTGTAAATCGAAACTCTCCGATCACGACATTTTTTTGTAACTAAGCAACTGAATTATTTACCACCCTTTGGATAATTGGCCTTAATTAAAGAAAGTTATCAACTGATGAATAGTTTGTTCGTAAAATCAGTAACTGCGTTCGTCATCAATGGGTAAAATACTTTAAAATCTCAGATATGCGAATTACATGACTTCCATCAAGAGTCTGACCACACACCATTTCTAATGGGTAGTGTCTACGATCAAGAAATTGAAGTGTAAAGCACAGTTTCTTTCCGTCTAACTCGAACAAAAATTTGAATCAGATAAATGATTTTCTTATACACAATTCATTGTAAAATTAGCGCTACAGAGGGGACAACGGAAGACCGGCTATTAAACCATCCAACTTTTGAAAAATATATCAAAAACCCTAAAAACCATTCAGCTAAACTAGATCGGGTCCCAGTAGCTGAATGGTCGTCTGCCAGCTTGCCTCATAACCGGAAAATCCTGGGTTTAAACCCCCCTCCCCTAAGGTGGATGCGCACTGTGAAGAGTCCCAAATTAGGATGAAACAGCTGGTATTCAATGGTACTCTAACTGATGCCAACTTCTAATCGAACCTGCAGCCAATTAAATCCCTACAAACCAACACTTGATAAACCATAAATCTCCATTACCTAGTAAACAGCTTAATGGCTATAAAAAAGGATACTGTTTCCTTGGTAAGGCACAACAGCCAAATAAATGCTTCGCTTTTATGCCTGCCTGCCTACCACTCACTCACTCACTACACAGTGAATTAGTCATGCAAACAAATAGATAGATAGATAGACGGACGGATAGACAGACAGACAGACGAAAGCATAAAAATTATTTGACCAGTCTCTTTCTCGTTTTTTTGCTTCATTTTTTTTGTTTACACTATTATAAATAATTTTTTCAATGATTATATGATTCGATTTAACTCTCTAATTGTCTATTCTTATGGAAAGAAAAAAACAGATAAGAAATATAATAAAATGTTGAATGATGAATACTGACTTTAAAAAGGATTCAATGTCCAATGTGTAATAATTCAAACAAAAAGAGACCAGATGATAAGAAATACATTCAGAATTATATTGAAAAAAAGAGTAGAATTGTTGTCTTAGATAATAAAACAACAGATGTGAAGAAATTGAAAGCAGTGATACACCGAATGAACAAAAACTAAAAAAGAGTGAAATCTGATCTTTTCCAAACTGAGATATGATAGCTTACAGGAGTTTTATTCTATGAAAAAAAAGAATAATAACAATGCATTCGACAGTTGAAATAATAAAGGAAAACATTTAGTAAAACAAAAGCATCCGAATTGTTTTACTGGTTGTATTAACCGATCTCATGCATAACTACACAAAAAAAAACTCTGTGCCAAAATACTCAGCTCATAGTAGCGGATAAAATGGCAAATCTACGTATCATCATCATCATTGAAGAGGGCATAGAAAACCGTTGACCGCGGAGTAACCTGAAGAGACTAAATCAACACCATGGCGTGATGTGCCCCAAATCGTTATAAACCTCATACAACAATGCAACATATTAAGTGATGCATCATAGCGGAAAACTAAGCCAAGTCTTTGAAGTGAATACAGGAGTAAGGTAAGGCTGCCTAATATCATCACTGATGATTTGTCTAACTGTAGTGGAATGGATTATGTGGAAGACCACAGTGAACGAGAAGGCAGGAATACGCTGGAATACCAATAAGAAGACTCTGGAAGATCTGGATTTCGTGCGTAGATGATTTATGGCTAATGTCACACAAACTCTAAGACTTGCAGGTGAAAATCGACAAACTGGCTGAAGAAGCAGCAAAGAGAGGAGCTCAAGTGAATATAGAGGAGACGCAGAGGTGATGAAGATAACTAACGAACCAACAACAACAACAAATATCAATCACCAACAACAGAAGGAATCTGAAAGAGGTCACTTCCTTCACTTATCTAGGAAGCATCTTCACAAATACAGGGAGGCCGAAGGGGTGAAGATGTCAAAATCAGAACAGGAAAGATGAGACAAACCTTCATCACTCTGAAAGCGGTTTTGAAGTCTTCTGAACTCAGGGTAAAGAACAAAATTCCAATTTTCAAAACCAATGCTAAGTCAGTCAATTCTTCTATATGGGTCAGAAACTTGACGTGTCACCAAAAGCGTTTCCAATCGCTTGCTGCAAACTTTGATCAACAGCTGCGTTTGCTGGCTCCATACTTAAGATCAGTTGGCCATAAACAATTAGCAACAAGAAACTCTGAGCATGAACCAGTCAAGAACTTATTGCTCAACAACCATGCCAAAGAAAAGGGAAATAGATGATCGCACGCGCACTGAGGAGACTGTCCGATGACACTGCACACCAAGCGGACCCTCAAGTGGAACACGAATGGGAAATGACGAGTTGGGAGTCCGAGGGTGACATGGAGGAGGTCGTATGAGGAAGAGATGCGAGCCTATGAACAATCGTGAAGTGAAGTGCGGAGAACAGGACGAAATGGGGTGTACCAAGTGAACAGTAATAATAATAAATAACATAATACTAGAGGAATGGGAAGAAAATACAAAAACACCCACCTATACCTTGTTTAACTCGTATTTAATATGAAGACAATTGGCTGAAGATGCATACTACTGGCTGATTGCTTGATTGATATGAATAGTTGGAGACCACCGCTCACGTCAACGAGAATTGTCAGCTAACTAAATCGAAGAAACGTAAACAAAAGTCGGTTGTTTCGCTCATAGCTATAATCAGCTGTTTACTCGGTTTTAACTCAGCCCAGCGGGGGGAATCAGTTCAAACCAGGCGAATTTCAGACTAGCTAGATAGAGGTGAAAACTGTTTCATGTTCTCCAAACTTTATTCAGGATTTGATCGTGGAGGTTTTATCCCCAGCACCAACACGCCTTATTAAGAGGTGCACTAGACAATTTCCATTCTGTCTAATCATGACTTACAAATCTTCAGCGTTGTTTCAATAGAGCAAAATCATTTTTCGAAAAACGTTTCTACGAACAAACAACTTTGCAAAAGTAAATAATTTTCCTGCCTCAGCAGCTAACTATAAATTTGAATAAGGCAAGAAAGACAAATATGTACCAGGATAATATGAGCCCATTTTTTATTATTTCAAGGATTCTTCTCTCTACTGGCTACAATCTGAACAATATAAATTACATTAAAGATTTGAACACACTTTTTCCACGATGACGAGGATTAATTGGTGGGAACTAAGAGTAATGTGATCATATCTCCTGACAATGAAAACTACGCAGTTAAATCACCCAGCTCATAGAACACAACCACATAAAAATCACCAACCTGAGCTATGAATCTTGTCTATAATTAGAAATTCGTCGTACATGCGACTAAGTATGCCTAATTCCTAAACTGCTACCTCATAGACAACTACTAGACCTGAGTGAGACTTAATCTATGTGTCCGTTAATATATTGACAAACATGAATAACCGTCAAACCACCAGAAAATAATATAACACAATGCACTGCATCTAAAACACATCAAAGAAATGGGCTAGTTACACTTCTTGAACAAATATAAGACTAGAATGATTTTCTTCTGTTCATAAAAACCATACCTATTACACTGACGCACATGAAATTAGGAGTCCTATGCATTAATACCTCTTTATGTAACAAATGTTATGTAGACTGGTCAACGAAAAGAACGATTTAAATAATACAATACAGGTATGAATTCATGCTTGGAACTCTTGGACTTGAAGCAATATGCCCTCTGCAGCCTAGTGCTTCATGGCTTTAAATGGATACCTAACCGACGCTGGTATGTGATGCATTTCACATTGGGAATAAGAAAGATACAGGAATACGCCACAATATTCCACCCTGCTATATACACCATAATTGCTTAAAAAATTGAAGGCTATACAAACGGAGACAAAAAACAAGAAGAAAGTGTAACTGAAATTTTGCTTTAGAGGATGAAAGATGGGAATACAGAATTGTGGTAAAAATAGGAATGAATGTATTTGCATTACTGCACCTGTTGTCTCAAAGTTCTGCTTCCAGTGATCACATAAACTCAGGCGAGAAATAACTACCACTTATTGGTATACCTTTGAGGAGGGCAAGGTAGACGGAAGAGGGGGATTCGAATCCGGAAGGTATTATAACTGAAATCCTAGTGCCAAAACCAAAAATGAAATTCACATCTGGTCTTTAATCTAGTACTTAAAAAAAGAAATTATTTTTAGGATAACTACGTGGCGTGACTACTATTAAAGCATGAAAGAAAACAAAACACGTAGCCATGAAGGAGAGAAAATAAGTTAGTTATAAAGTGAGAAAGGCTTTCGAAAAATAACTCAATTTCATTACACTTTCAGAAATCCATAAACATTTTATTATCTGTTCATCATAAACTGAATAAATAGAATACACACATTACGCCCCATCATAATTACCAAATGAAGTTAAATGAAATGTATCTGCAATGCAACATAAAATAATAATAATAACAATAATAGTAACTGTCGACAGTCAATTGAAAGAGAAAAAGGTAAACTAAATTTCTACTCTACGGTTAGTGTAACACGAACAAAACATTACGGGTTTTGATTACTGAAAACGAAACGTGAATAATACTAAAATGAATGATCATATATATTTTCATGAGTTTGTTTGTAGGGATTTAATTTGTTTCAAGTTCGATCACGGATTGATATCAGTCAGAGAAGCATCGGTAGTGAGGACAAACACTCGCCATAGATGACATTGGCTGGTGCTAGTCATGTTAAAATCACGAATTGGTAGAAGTTAGGAATTTATTGCCTGGCCATTAAGTCAGATCCCAGTGGCTGGATGGTCTACAAGTCTGACTTGCAACCGGAAAACCCTAGGTTCGAACCCGGTTGGTGAGTGAGTACTGCCAATGGGTTCCAAAATAAGACGAAACAGTTGTCCAGTACTCCTTTTGGTTCTCTAACTGATACCAATCTGTGATCAAACCTGAATGATTACAGATAAATTTCAACGTTCATTTTATCACAAACCAACATCAGTTAGACACGAAAAGCATTGAGCAGATATTTGATCCCAGTCTGGGACTGCTCTTTAGCAGTATGCACCCACCAAGGACCATTAGGTTACAAAACAAGTGCATTGACCGTTCATCAGCCAGTGGGATTGGAATTCAGTGAGAAGTAAACTCTAACTGCTATCACTATCAATTCACTATAAACCGAATGCCTATCAATGGCATTATTCAGCGGTAGACTAGACTACATTGAGTGGTTTGAGGTTACTACTTAGTACCTCTAGGAGTAAAGAGTATCGTAACTCAAAATCTTTATCTCAGCAGAGTTATGTGTTAACAGAAATACCTTGATCACTAAATTGCGTATAAATAAATAGATAAATAATAGAATGATATCAATGAGTCACACAAATGAAATATTTTTTCTAAAAAAAGCAACATATTTATAAGTGAGTTTTATCTATTCAAATAATAATAATAATAATAATAATAGCAATAGTAATAATAATAATAATGACATTAAGAATGTTATACCGCTTACAATCTTAATTGTATTCACTTCAATACACACTCCAAGGAGACGTACAATATCTGGATGATTTAATCGATGCATTGTGGCAATTTCATTCAAGAAATCGCATGTCTCATCACCGATCTGTTTAATATCCATTATCTTGATAGCAACTTGGACAACACGTCTTGCATCTGTATGCCATACACCCTGGAATAAATTTAAACAACACTCAAAATAATAACAAATAAAAAATAAGTGAATATTGGTTACTAAGGTATAATCAATCATTGATGTTTCAAAGTACAATTTCCAGTCAATATACATATACTGGGCTGAATATTTTCTTGAGGTACAAAAAAGTGGGCTGTTTATTTTGATCATGCATGATCTCAACACCTCTGTTATATTGGTTGGTGAAAACAACAAGACTCAGTGTTTCTTTAGTTTAATTTTTAAAAAAAAACATATCTTGACTATAATGACATTAACAACAACAGCGACGGTAAAACAGAATCCAAATTTAAGAAATTCTTTCACAGGTACTTGTTTGGGGTTGAAGGGGGGTAGGATTGGGAGAAAGAGCATTCACGGGTAATGAAATGAAGATCACCTGAAAATTAGAAAGAATAAAAAACAGACTTGCTAAACACTCAGCAATTTCCATTGGTCACCAAACTGATGTTACCCATAAATTAAGTGGATATTTATGTGGTTGAGTGGTTGGAGGTAGTAGACAGGAAGCCTTGGATCTAGGATTTTGTGCTTGTCGGCACTCACCAGCCAGCAAGGCGTAACTGTAATCTTGAAGGAACTCATGTTCTCTTTGAGATTGGAACCAATATCACCCAGTGGTGTGGTCAGAGATGTTACCACCGAGTTATTAACGAATAGCGACTGACTGTAATGGATGGGACAGTAGATAGCAACTAAAGCCATGCATCTAGCCCTTAGTTTAATCAATGGTGAATTGGTAACTTGATTGAGAGAATTTAGTCCGCACCAAACGAAGGGTTGGACACATGACATTAGTTACTACCCAGTGTTCGATCAATGGCAATGAGCTATATTTATTGTCTAAGGCCTGAAGATGCTGATTAGTTATTACCAGTCGACAGAGCTAGACCAGTAGGTCACAGCATCACAACAACAAGAACAACAACTTTTAAATGAATTATCAGTATTCAATAGATTAGAAAAGTTAAAAATTAAGTAGATTCCCTTTCATATATTAATAACAACAAACCAATCCATGAAATGCACTGCATTTCTAAGTATTGGAAAAAACTTACAAATCATTGTTATATGACTCATACAAGAAATTCTGTTACACATGACCGTGGATAAGAGTGCAACAACACATCACCATATGTGAAACATTTGTGTGTAACTAGAAAAAGATTATCGGACAACGTACACAGCCTGAACCAATCCAGATGTTGGCTTATTTTGTGCACATTTTAGATCATTTCATAAAGTAATCGTTAGAAGGATATTTTAATTCACCTATTTCTGTACTTTTCTAGACAACAAATGTTGCATTGGCATACACAACATTATACACTTCAATCATAATTAACTCTATGTAGGGATCACAATTTTGTTGACTAATCTACCCCCGTTTTCATCCACAGATGCTATTGAGGTGCAGTATGTAATGCTTCTTTTGTGTCTGTGAACACAAGTTTCAGTTATCTCCATTAAGGAATATGAGTGTAACTTACTAGACAAACAATTTAAGCTGAAGTGGAATAGTGGTGGAGAACAGTGACCAAAATATGACGTCAATGCATACACGTTTGGGCCAGACAGGATCGTGTATAGATTGGAGTCTTCAAGATTCTTGGTGAGATCGACATCATACTGGCTATCATCGAAATCCTGAACATCGACATCCCAGACACTCACTTATTTGTGTCTATTATGATGTCAATACACACAGACGAAGACCAACAAGTTGTAAGAAGAGGCAGCAAAGGCAGGACTTCAAGTGAACATTAAGAAGACGGAAGTGATGAAAATAACCAACCAATAATAATAATAGCAACAATCACTAGTCACTCCACCTATCTAGGCACCACAGTTTCAAATACAGGCATGTCGCACGGATGAGGGTATCAAAAACACAATGGGAAAGGCAAGACATACCTTCATAACTCTGGAATCAGTTCGGAAATGTACAATCAGCATAAACAACAAAATTCGGATTTTCAACATCAATGTAAAGTCATTTCTTCTGTATGAAACAGAAACTCGGTGAAAGCATCACAAAAAGAGTTTCCTACAGCTTGTTAGAGACTTTCATCAAAAGGTTACTTTTTTGGCTCCATAGTGGAGATCAAATCACCAGCCAGAAACAATTATCAAAAATGAATTCTGGGAGCGAACTAACCTAACAAATATTTCAAAGAAAATGGAGACGGAGTGGAACACGTTGAGAAGACCGTCAAATGACAACTCACACTAGGCTATCGGTCGAGTGGAACCCGAATTGGAAACGATGAGTTTGGCGTTCAATGGTGACATGAAAGAGGTCGTATGGGGAAGAGATGAGAGCATATGGGCAGTTGTGGGGCCAGACTAAAAAGGACTGCAGACAACAAGACAAAATGAAGACGTTCTGTTGGAATCCTATGTTCCACTCTGAACCCAAGGGAATAATAATAATAATAATGAATGTATTACAATACATTCTTGTTCTCTTATTTTACGCATACTTTTTCAAAGTATGGAGAACCCAGCTGGTGAACTGCTGTAGAACATTTTCTACTGGTCTATCGATCCATTTATACCCAAGCATGAAATATCTTAGAGAGAGGGACGAAGAGTAAGATTTTGAAGCGTGCACAGCATTGAACAATTCTCAAGGCTAACTGCAGTTGTTAGAACTTACATACTTACAAGAAGTATCCTAAACTAATTTTATTCACTGCATGTAATGAATAGTCCCTATCCAGACATGAATGAATACAAAACACGTAGTTCAGCGAAGACGTTCGTTTCAGAGAATTCATTTTCCCCTTTATATGCACAATCGCATTTATATACACTTTTTTCCCCGATAGAGGGTAATAACAAAAAGTCACAAACATAGTAGTCAGTTTTAGTTAATGTATAAAAAGAGTTGAATAAGTGTATTATAGCTATGTAATAAGATGAATAATTTAACGAGTGACTTGTGATCAGGATATGCATATAAACGAAGGAAAATATGGAATTACGAAGGAGTCCTAAGGAATCGTCGGCTTGATGTACCTTTATCCTCAGTATAGCTCGAAACCAGTACCAATCATTCCAAACACCAGTGTTGTCAGATAGACCATTCGGTACAGAAGAGCCAGCCGACGAGTCCCAAATAAGATGAAATGAGCACCATGGATCCCACTGCTGAGCACTATCAACCAAATGACATCATGTTAAACATCAGACATTGTTGAAGTGACTCACTTTTGTTAAAATTGAGATTATGCTGCAAGACTCTAACTTAAAGATAGGGAGTGAAGTGGTGGAGCGTGTTAACGACCACTTCACTTATTTCGGAGGCAGAGTCAACTGATGAATGACGAAATCTCATCATGGACGAAGAAGACTAGTGTGATATATTTGCCAACTTACGTCATCACTAGCGCAGACGTGATATCCGGCTTGCTATCTATTAAAAGACGTGTGTATTGCGCAGAACTTCGCTTTTTCTCCCTTTATGGCTGTGAGAAATGGCCATTGAAAGTGAAAGATATGAAAAGACTGACTTTCATTGATCATTTGTGTCTGAGTTCTACCTCTCATTTTGGATGCTTTAATAGGGTGAGTAATATTTAGGTGGTTAGGCGTTGAGTGTTAGGTAAGGAGGGAGGAAATAAGTTGATGAGGTTGTGAAGCTGCATAGAATGAGATGGCAAGGACATGGGTTACGAGTGCCCAGCTATCACCTTCCTTGGCGGACAATGTTACCTGACACAGGATCAGGTTGGAAAAGAGCTAGTGGTAGTCAAACCAAAACATAGCTTCATCAACCAATGAAATCCACAAAAGTTCGTTTAAGCTGACCAGTCACGTAGGGAGGTGTAGACTTCTTGGCTGGTTAGGGTCTTCGGGATGGTAAGGACCAATGACGGCTGGAGACAAATGGTGATACGGTTAGAAACCGTTCTCACTGATGGCGCAGATGCATCCACTCTCTGTGATCTCCCATATTCATTTAACCCTAATGTTTATCCGTATTATGATTCTTTCTCCCGCATATTGCTACTTATTATGGTTCCTTTGAATCCCTTTTTTCCTCTCTTTTCTCTGTACATGGAGTGTGACGGCTTGAACTGCCACACTTCTGTGCAAAGTTCTATGCTGGAACTCAGTCAATCAGTCAGTTGAAGTATTCGTACTAGGGGACGGATTATCAGAGACGGAGTATTTCATTTCAGTCAATTGAAGTCATACACTGGAGATTTAAATTACCTTAAACAGATATTATTCAGTCTACTCATCATTAGACGTTATTGTTTATGGGAAATAACACCGTTGTTCAAATCATCAACACTGCTGAGTTAACCGATGCAAATAAATATAATACTTCCTCTTTATTTAACAACAATAACAATTACTCATCAATTTAACCAATAACCCCACAAGCTAATAACAGACAGTCAAACAATATATAATACACACATTGAATTATTGATCAAAAACAATGAAAGAGAATGCGACATTAAATTCCCAGACAGGATATTATCTTCCCTTTAAGACAAAAATATCGATAGAATTTCCCCTCAAGAAAGAAAGGAAGGAAGAGACAAATACACATATATCCCCTCCCCACCCCACCCCAATTACAACTTAAATAAAAAAGGGACAGCCAAATATTATATGTACTGATATTATACTGCCAGTCAATAATAAGGAGCATAGAATAACGGAAGAGGAAGAAGAATTCAAAACAAAATTTAAATAACTCACCAAAAATACACACACACACGCGAACACATAAATGCACAATCACACATATGCATACACACAACAGACAAAGTACGTAGATCTCCAACATGTGTGTGTGTGTTGAAAACAAGACGACTGGAATGTCAGTAGCTGAAAGTTGTCACAAATCTTAAGAACACGGTAGTCACGTGGGTGTACTGACTAATTCGGCCGTCGATTAATCTAAGGAAGTAATAATTATGCTAACGATAACAATACCTACTCTTTGCCAAACAAAT